CCCCTGCCCCCCTCCCCGAGTAACATACCCCTCCCTGACCTGGCTGGGCAGCTTGTCCCAGCCCCAATCCCTCCCTCCTCCATGCCCCTTCCCCGCCTTGTCCCCCAACAGACTTACCAGCTAGAGACAGCTATCAGCTGTCTGTTTAGTCTATGGCCAAATCTCTGAATTGGCTCAGTCTTTTTTCAAAGCTATTCCGAATCGATTCAGAGCTTCTACTTGGTCTCCCGATTTGGGCCGAATCTCTTCTGAATCAAATCAGCTACCAAAGCTTCACACAAGCCTAGAACTTTGTGGAGGATAATTTTGTCTTCGTTGTTTCCTCAGGGTTATCTTACAATTCAGTTCACCCAATAATTGAATTTTAGGAAAAGGCATCAAGATATCCTTAAAATATTTCTGCAGGTCTCACAATAGAGGTTTAGACTGACAGCTATTGATAGCATTATATGTTAGGCAAGCACATATTCGCAGAAGTAAAACTTCATCCTATTCTACGGCATTCTTACTTGCATATCAGGGAGTCAGCTGGCACTGTACTTTCTACCTATTCCTTCTCACTCTGTGCTATGCAGTAGGGGTGTGCGAAGCAGGCCATATTCGATTTGGATTCTGATTCATCCCAATTCAGGGGACAGAGATTCAATTAGTTGATTCAGACCACTGTCCCAATTCGATTTGGCTGAATCAAAATCTGAAGATTCGATGCTGATTCAGAGAATCAGCGATTCAGCCATAGACACCGCTTTAAATGTATTTTCTACGTAACTCGAGTTACCAGGCACGGCTCGTGAACGCTGAGATGGTGGGGCGGATGGAGCGTCCCACAGGAGCGCAGGGGGCCCTCGGTGGCAGACCCCCCATGCCCCCTCCAGCTTAGCAATTGGCCATGGGGGGACCCCGGGTGCCCCCCCAGACCCAGGAGGCACCAGTCACCAAGCTGAGGAGGAGGGGTCCCCTGACACTCCGCAGTAGATCCAGAAGTGGACCAGAAGTGCTTCTGGTCCATTTCTGGGTCTGCCACTGAGCGCACTGGGGACCTCCCTGCGCTCCTGTGGGATACTTCATCCACCCCAGCATCTCAGCGTTCATGAGCTGTCTGGTACCTTGAGGTGTGTAGAAAAAACTTTTAAAGCTGTGTATGTGTCCAAATCATTGAATCTCTTCGAATCAATTCGGAGGGTTTGGACTCGATTTGGAGAGTTTAAAGGATCTCCTTATTTGATTCAAATTAAAAGATTTGGCTGTTGAATAGGGCCAAATCTCTGCCTAATCGAATCAGCAACCAAAGCTTCACATAGCCCTACTATGCAGACCTTTTTTTGTTGGAGACCTCTTCAGTTTCATTCCAATTTTTATATGTTTTCTTCAGTTATTTGCAAGAACAGCATTCAGTCATTCTCATTATATTTGATTCTATGGGATGAGGCACAATCAAGACAGATATCACTGGACTATTAAGTATGCACTTGTATTCAGAAGTATTTTAGAATAGTCATTTGGGGTAAAAAGAGAGTTTCCTGATATGTGCAATAACTCTGAGTAGCTGGAGTTGCCTTAGAGATGACCTGAACAATATAATTGTATCTTACCTTGCAGTTCTAACCCTTATACTCAACATCAGTGATTAAATTGCAATTTACCTTTCCTTTTCCTTTTTCCCCCCCCAGACCTTTGTTAACTGGAATGAAGCTAAGTTGACTTGGAGCTTTTTTAAACAATCCTTCTTGAAGCAGATTTTAACAGAGGGTGAGTATGACATTCACTGCTTGCCTTTTCAAGGTCAGAAAGATTTTGATATTTGGTATTTGCTATTTTTAGCTTTCGGTTTGAAAAAAATATGGAAGCAAACAAGCATTATCATCAATAGGAAAGGGAGTCCATCTGCATATTGACTGCAAAGATTTGCTTTCAATATTTCATAGCTAATAAAGCTTTTCAGAATATTTTCAAGCAATTAGTGTTGAGAACATGGGTGTCTTGTGCCTCTAGAGTTGGTGGGGGGGAGGGGGGCACGTCCCCCCTCCCCCCCCCGGCACCAGTCAGCGACCTGGGGGTGGGGTGTCCTCTGGTGGCTGATCCCACCTACCGGCTGGCGCTCACAAGGAGGACACTGGTGCTCCCACCTGCTCCCCTGCCCGCCTGCTAAAAAGGGAGTGTATCCTGACAGGGGGTGCACCAGCGCTCTCAGGGGGTGTATATGCACCCCTGTGCACCCCCTATGCATTACCCCTGGTTAAGAATCAGCTTTTTGAAGTCGAAATGTTTCATAGACAACTTTGCTAAAGTGAAACTTTGTTGGAAAGGGCTCTCTAGCAAGGAGGAGGATGTGGGGAGAGAGAGGGAGAGACTCAGCAATATGTTATTTATTATTTATTACCAAAGGGTGTGATAGGGGGTATTTTGACCCTGCACCTCTGCTCTCCACCCCTGATGAGGGTTGGGCTGTCAGTTATGGAGCCCCTGACAGCCTGTTGTCTCCTATAGAGGTAAGAGTTCGCCCCCTACCAGGAACTGGGGAAACTGCAACACTCAGTTGATTGTCCTCCCTGCTCTCCCTCCCCAGGGAAGTGGAGAGTGGAATGCTGTAGAATGCTGGGGGACCAAGAGATACCTTGTAATGCTACAGTGCAATGTAGAACTTACTGTTTCATCTAGCATTTTGTAGCATTCAAGGGGGCATGTCCTCTTGACTTCAGAGCTGCTATGTTCATCATATACTTTAGTAGATATTACCCACTCTGACGTTCTTTAATATCATATTTACTAGGGCTGTGCGAGTCTTCGGATTCTGCTTCGGATCCGGACCCGCATCGGATGCTCCGGCATCCAAAGCGGCACTTCCGGGCCGAAGCAGGATAACAGCAATGGTGTCTGGAGTGGGTCAGGGGCATCCAAAGCACTTCGGACCTGTTTCGGATTCTTCGGAGCCGCTTCAGCCATTTTAAGGGAATTAGAAGAGGGAGGGGGAGCGGGGCGGGGGGGAAGACTGACATCTGTAGGTAGCCAGTGAGAAGGATTTCTCCCTGGCTACCTGTCCAATGGCAGCGTCTGTGGGGTGGGACTAAAAAAAAGTATAAAAGCCCCTGTTTCCAGCCCTTCTGTGCCTTTTGCAGCTCATTCCCTGTCAGCAGCCACGTGAGAGAGGAATGCTGCAACTGAGACCTGCCTTCTGCTTTTTCATGTTATAAAGGAGTGGTTAGGATTTAGCTGAACTTAGCTTAGTTTAACTTAGCTATTCAATTCAATTATTAATAGTATTACAATTCAGTTTATTTCTTTGAATTATTTTTTTGGGAACTTGTTTTGGAAACCTTGCAAAAAGACAGTTGTGTTTTCCCAGCCAGTGTTATCTACCACTGTGCAGGGAGGCACAGATTGCTTGCTTGCATGCACGCGCACATGCATGCACATGCACATACACAGAGACCGAGAATATAGAAAAAAAATCACAACGGAAAAAGACAGACAGATATTTACAGAAGAGCAAGACACAGATAATATATTGAGACACGAACACACGCAAATAATGTAATTCACAGCACAAGACCAGATAGACAATATTGTGAGAGCCAGAAAGAAGACACAAGAATAGACACAAACATAATGTCATTCACAGCACAAGATAGATACAGATATTCACAGGAGAACAAGACAGATACACAAAAGGATATCAAGATACAAAGATCAATATGAACTGTGCTGGAAAGGCAGGTGCCAGGTCTTCTGGCAGGGGAAGGAGAGGTGGTAAGGAGAGAGCTAGAGCTGCAAGCTCCCCCCGTCCCAAACACAGACACATTCTATTCCCGAGCAGCCATGGCATCAGTGCTGCCAGTGGAAGCCAGGCAGTGGGAGCAGTGTCTTGCACCTAATGTCCCTGCACCTGCACTACCTCCGCTCAGTCCAGAAGTGGGCACCAGCAGTGGAATCACTGCCTCTTCCACCCCAATTTCAGCTCTCAGTGTGAGCCTTCCACTGCCACAGGAGGAGCTGGAGCTGGAACCAGGGATGCTGAGCGCACTGGCTCAGGCAATTCTGGGGACTGAGGGGGAATCAGAGTTAGTGCTCCACACCCCTCACGTTTCCCCTAGACCCAGGTCTCCTCTGGAAAGTAGCACCTCCAAGGTAGTAGGTATAGTAACTCATGGACTCGATATACGCAGTGGAGTTCTGGCACACTGACCGGCCGGACATCTGACACCCCAGGCACCTCTGCACTTTTACCTGCACTGCTACATCCCCCTTTTCCCCCTACCCCAGCCTGTCCCTCGCCCCCTGATGCCTCCATTTCCATTTTCACTGACTGGCTTTCTTGCCTGCATTGCTTGCCAGGCCAGCCTCTGGCTTCTTTACTATTCCTTCCATCCAGGACCATTTGCAGGTACTTCCTCAGTCTGACAAAGGGGTTTTCAACCCTAAAGCTTCCAAAGATACATTTTTTTAAGTACTCCTTTTTTTTCATAATACACACATAGACATAAAAACACAAGATAAGCCATCACACACCATGAATGACATCATATGTCCAACACAACACAACATCTTTACTTCTTGCTGTCAATTCCTTTATAAAACGATAGGCTATGTGACAGTTCCATATGGGTACCTTTGCTGCTGCTGCTGATGCTACTGGTGTTCAGCCAGCTAAGTTATTGTACCTGTTGTCACATAAAGCGGAGGACTGGGCGTGAGGCTGTAGGGGAGGAGGAGGCGTTAGTGGGGCACATTGCTGTGTTGTGCAGAGGCCCCAGCGCCAGGAAGGGCGCACCTTAACACACACACACAGTGTCACCCACCCACATCACGAGTTTTGCCTGTCAGCAGCTTGGGGTGCAGGGCCCCAAATGACAGACTTCCCCAGTGAGAGAGAGACAGCTGGCAGGCAGGCTTCATGGCCTGGCAGGGCCCAGCACTCACTCAGGTCTGCTCTAGGACACACACAGCTGGCAGGCATTGAGGCCTTGGTAAGAGCCACCACCCCTGCAGTTTTCAACCCACTGCGCCTTAACACACACGGTCATTTGTGTCACGAGTTTTGCCTGTCAGCAGCTTGGGGTGCAGTTCCACCCCAACCACTGCACCGATCTTCTTGAAATTTGGCAGGCTTTGTGACCTCGGCAAGAGCTACCACCCCTGCAGTTTTCAGCCCCCTGTGTTGTAACACATAGACATAACAGGAGCTTTGCTTTCAAGCATTTGGGGTGCAGTTCCCCCCCAACCCCTGCACCAATCTTCTTGAAACTTGGCAGGCTTCATGCTCTTAGCAGAGGCTACCATCCCTGCAGGTTTCATCCACATCATACAAAAAACAACAAAGTTATAGATCTTCCATTGATTCCCCATTATACCCTATGGTCGGATCTCCAAGGCGGCTCCAAAACTTTGGAGCCGCTTCAGTCGTATTGAGCCGGAAACCCGGTCCGGAGCTCCAGATTGGATCGCGGCCATCCGAAGCGGCTGGATCCGAAGCCAGATCAGATCACTGCTGACTCACACAGCCCTAATATTTACTCAAATCCAAGAGGTTCTCCCTCTAGTCAGCAAGGGGGGGAACAGCCCCTTGCCTTGGATCCATGTACAAAACAGAGGGGGGTAGGTGGCTGCTAAAGCTCTCACTTTGGCCCTGAGTTGGGGCCAGAGTGAGAATACAGCAGCCTCTTGCCACCACCCTACTTTCCCTCTGCAGCTTTGACCCCCCCCCCCCCCCCTCCATTTCCAATCCCTTCCCCACCTTACTGTTGAGCATAGCTCAGCTCTGGTTTGGGCTAGATTCTCTCCTGGGCATAGAGCACATGGAACTCCATCCCCCCACTGGCCAATCAGCAGCATTGCCACTGCTGCATGGCCTGTGCTTCCACATGCTGTGGAAGCACAGCATGAGTCTGAGCAGCATCTGACAGTAAGTTCAAGAGGTGTGGGGGAAAGAGGCAGGGAATGTAGGCAGTGGATTGGGAAGGGGCAGAGATTGTGGAGAGCAGGGAGTGGGGTAGAGATTGTGAGGCATTGAAGGGGAGGGGCAGAGGCTGTGAGAAGGTGAGGGTGAAGGGGCAGGAAGACTGCCCGGACAAGTAGTTTGGGGGAGGTGGAGAACAAGGGGGATGCCTGCCCCCATCCAAGCCACCTGAGCCTTCCCCCCAGCCACTGCTTTCCCTGGTGTAATAGTGGGAGGGGGATGAATTTAAGACAACTCTCTGATAATTAGATTCTATACCTGGAAAATTATAACATTTATACTTTTTTTATATATAGACTCTAATTATTGGGGGGTTGCCTTAAATTCAGGGTTGACTTAGATTACAGTAAATGCAGTATGTGCATAGTATGATTGTTCCATTAATTGCATACTCAGAGGTACTTAGAGAATTAGTTGGTTTGTTTTGATTGTGTCTTTGTAGCCCTTGTACATCTACTGGGCTAAGTACAGACATTTGGGGGAGGTTTAATTGGTTCAAAATGGCTAGTAAGTCAGGATGGGGGCTTGCAGGAGGTTGAGGGGTCCAACAGGTTGGAGCGGATTTGTGGTCTGTCGGAGGATGGTGAGAAGCCATAGCCCAAGAGGGGTGGGAGGCAGGTGCA